TAAAATGTTGATGTTCACTCTTGCCATCTGTTTGACCACTTCCAATTTGCCTTGATTCATGGACCTAACATTCCAGGTTCTTTTGCAATACTGCTCTTTACAGCATCAGACTTTACTTTCACCACCAGACACATCCACAACTGAGTGTCGTTTCTGCTTTGGCCCAGTCCCTTCATTCTTTCTGGAGCTATTTCTCTACTCTTCCCCAGGAGCATATTTGACATCTACATCAAACCAGTCAATCCTAAAGGAAATCAGTCCTGAATATTCATTGGAAGGACTGATACTGAAGCAGAAACTCCAATACTTTGGCCATCTGATGAGAAGAGCCAACTCACTGGAAAAGACCCTGATGCTGGGAAAGACTGAAGGCAGGAGAAGGGGACAACAGAGGATGAGATGGTGGGGTGGCATCACTGACTCAATGAACCTGGGTTTGAGCAAGCTCCTGCAGTTGGTGATGGACAGGGAAGCCTGGTGTGCTGCATTCCACGAGGTCACAAAGTGTTGGACACAACCGTGACTGAACTGAACTGATCTGAGGTATTCATCTTCCATTGTCATATCTTTTTTCCTTTTCATACTGTTCTAGGGTTCTCAAGGCAAGCATACTGGAGTAGTTTGCCATTACCTTCTCCAGTGACCCACATTTTGTCAGAACTTTCCACCATGACGCATCTGTCTTGGGTGGCCCTGCATGGTGTGGCTCATAGCTTCATTGAGTTACTGTGATCCATGTGATCATCTTTGTGAGCTTTCAGGAGTTGTGGTTTTCATTCTGGAAGCTGTGGGATTGTAGTTCTTGCTTCTTCTGTCTGCCCTCTGATGGATGAGGATAAGAGGCTTGTGCAAGCTTCCTGATGGGAGGGACTGGCTGTGCAGAAAACTGGGTCTTGCTCCACTGGCAGGACCATGCCCAGTAAATCTTTGATCCAATCAGCTGCTGATGGATGGGCTGTACTCCTTTCCTGTTAGTTGTTTGGCCTGAGATGACTCAGTCCTGGAGTCTAAAGGCTCAATGGTAGGGCTAATGGTGACCACCAAGAGGACTTATGCCAACAGTCACCTCTTAGGTATTTAACTATTCAGACTATAAGCATGCACTCTACAGATGACCATCTATGGAGGATCTAGTACTTTCAAAGTTTTGGGTCCCTGGCCAATACTAAGATATCAATTTTATATCATGAGCTGAAGATAACACACACAAAGCTAAAAGATAATGCCTAGCCTTAAAACTCTCGAGGCACTCTGATATTCCTTCTTTTGTTCTATTTCATCACACACACACACACACACACACACACACACACACACAATGTGGGTCCCAACTCATCAATGGAGAGACATTGATTGGGTGTATCTTCCAGGGATGAATGTTCTTTGAAGGTGACGGACTAAGTAGAGACCATATCTTCATGTCTTCTAAATAGGTGTAGTCACATTAATGCAGAAAAAGTCAGTTAGAGATACTCTTTATAGAATCTGAAATTCCCACAATGAGTATCTGAGTGGATCTACATGTAGAGAAACCAGGTGTTGGGGAAAGGAAGCCAAATGTATAAAACATGGTGCTTGCCTTCAAGGAGCTTATAGGTGAGTAACAAGATTATCCCACTCATTTATTCATTTAACAAATCAAGCACCTACAATGTGCTAGGTAGCACTATTCTGCATCAGTGAACAAGTTCCTGACCTCACCAAACTTATCTTCTCATGAGAGTGACACATAATAAATGAATAAATAACTGAAGAAGCATAATATAGTGCTGACAGTGGTAACGGCTCTTAAGAAAAGGTGAGGGGACTTCCCTGGAGAGCCAGTGGTTAAGAAGCTGCCAGCCAATGCAGGGGACATGGATTCAATCCTTAGTCTGGGAAGATTCCACATGCCTGCAGGGCAACTAAGCCTAGGAGCCACAACTACTGAAGGCCACGTGCCCTAGAGCCGGGGCTCCACGACAGGAGAAGCCACCACAACAAGAAGTTTATGGACTGCAACTAGAGAGTGGCCCCAACTAGAGAAAGCCCGTGCGCAGCAACGAAGACCCAGCACAGCCAAAAGTAAAGAAATAAACAGAGAGAGAAAGAAAGAAAAAGTAAGGAAATGGAGAGTGACTGATAGGAAGGCCTGTTTCAGATAGGGTAGTCAGGGAAAACTTCTAAGGAGGAGGTATTTGACCACAGACATGAAATTTCAGCGCAAACCCTGTACATTCCAAAAGAAACACACTTCTCAAGAGGGACCAACGAGGAGGGGAGCAGTTCAGGAGGGACGCTCAAGAGGGAGCAGATATATGTATATTTATAGCTGATTCACACTGTTGTATTCCAGAAACTAAAACAACATTGTAAAGCAATTATCTTCCAATTAAAAGAAAAACATTCTATGACAAACCATAATGGAACAGAATACTAAAGAAGGAAGTATATAACTGAAGCACTTTGCTGGATAACAGGAATTAACAACATTGTAAACCAACTATCCTTCAATAAAAATAAGTAAGAAAAAAAGAGAAGGGTCAACCAGAACCTTCAGAAAAGCTCTGAAGCAGACATGGAATATTCCAGAAGTAGGAAGACCAAGGTAGCTAGAGATCATGAGACTGTGAAAGACAGACGGGGTCAGATGACATAGGGTCCTGAAGGCCATGTTAATTTTCAATTACATCTAAATGTGATGGGAGGCCATTGCAGGGTTTGAGGCAGAAGAGTAACACGAACCGGTTTACATTTTAAACACTCACACTTGCTGCTGTGTAGAAAGCTGACTGTAAGAAGGCAAGGGGAAAGCCATGTGACTGGTCAGGAGGCTATCATGGCAGTGAAACAAGAGATGACCGTGGCTTGGGTGAGACTGACATTCACGGAGCGCGAGGAGTGACTGGATCAGCGGTACCTCATTTGAAAGCTGCTGCCTCTCCATCTGCATAATACGGCGTAGAACGTGAGGTGCCAAGATAGAGTACACTGTGTTGTGGGAACTCAGACGAAAATTACATCTGGCTGTGGGATGAGCTGGCACTTGAGCTGTGTCTTCAAGGATGAGTGGGTAGAAATGGCGAGGGAGGAGAGGACATTCCAAAGAAAGGGAAAAGCAGATGAGTAAAGGCACAAGAGAGAGAAAGCAGAAGGCATGCTTGGGGCCCAGCAGCAGTTCTGTGGATTACGTGAGTGTGACAGTTGCGCAGTCGTGTCTGACTCTTGGTGAGCCCATGGATTGTGGCCCACCAGTCTCCTCCGTCCATGGAATTCCCCACGCAAGAATACTGGAGCAGGTTGCCATTTCCTTCTCCATGCTGTGGATTATAACGCGCTTCAAAGAGGGGGCTAGGATGTTAAGATTGAACAGGTATGTTTGGGATAAATCACAGAGAGCCTGCAGGGCCATGAGAGTTTGGGCAATGGAGAATCACAGCATGTTCCTAGGGAGGGTTTTATGGGATCAGAGCTGAGCTTTAGAGCCTATCGGGTAATTAGAGGCTGCAGGGGAACCTGGAAGTTTCTGCTTTGGGCCTCTGTACCTTCATTGATTGAGGCCATCTTCAACTTTCTTTAATCCTAAATCTTTTGTTCCAGCCAGACCAGCCTTCCACTTGACCAGTGGGCTGCCTACAACCATGCCCTCCTCCTTGCCTTTATTTAGGTAGTTCTCAGCACCAAGGACATCTTGCCCAGCTCCTATCCATTTATTCAAAACCTCCCCCATTCTTTTCTGGTTCCTTGGCCTCCATTGTTCCCTCCCTTCTGTCAAAGCACTTGTCTACAGCACTCATGTTGGTTCTTAACTTCATATACACGCATTCCTTAAGTATGTACTTCAAGAAGGACTTTCCCTATGAGATGTAAACTCCTTTCGGTCAAGGACATTAGCTGGCATTCCCTTTGTTTCTTCCACACTGCCTGGCACTCAGTACCCATTCAATTATATTGACCACCCTCATACCTAATACAGTGAGTGCTGAGAGCCAATGGGCCTTCTCAAGAGCCATGAGTAGAAAGGCAATAGTCCAGATACACTGATACCTAAACACATAGCCCAAGGGGACCACTCTTCTTGTCTCCAAACGTCTTCCATTCCCCGGCCATTCAGAAACGAAACCACTACGAACTGGACACATCTAGGTTTCGCCTTCTATAAAAGAACCATCCTGGGGAATTACCCTTGCTCTAGACAATATTATCCACATTCAAGAAAACACACCAAACCATGGTTTTCCACGGGGAAACGGAAGTGGATCCGGGTCAGATGCCCACTCCACTCCGGCGCTTGCTGGCTTCCTGCAACTTGCTCCCAAGCTCTGGACCACATCATCCATCGCTTTCCCCTGAGACTGTGTACTTACTTGAGCGGCTTCCACTCGGAGCCACTCTCCCACCCCATTTCATCGGCCCTTGGAACCAGCAAGCAGCAAGACACAAGTTTCAAGACGGCAACAAGGCTGTGTGGACTCTCTCAACACCTGACACCCGGCAGGAACATGGGTCACTTAAGGACACAAGGCAAAGGCACAGATGATGGGTCTCCTCCGTTGCTGTGGACACTCGATTCGGTGGGTAGCCTGTCCTTGGCTTCCACGGCTCCCTGGCTCTTTCTAGACGCTTCCCCTGCCACTTCTGGGAGGGGCATGGGGCCCTGGGGAGTCAGCAAGGTCACCGACGCGGGAAGGAAGAAGATACCAGACTCGTGTCCTGTGCACTGAGCTCGATGCTCGGCACTGTATCCAGCATGCCAGGGCACACCTGACCCAACCGAGCCGAGAGTCTGGTGGTCGAGACCAACCCAGGAGGTGATGCCTCTGAGTCGGCGCAGTGATGGAGGTCTAACAGGGCAGTGCGCGCCCGCTCATTTCAAAACCTCATCTCCCTGCCCTTCCCAAGGCAAAATTAGGTTTAAATCGGGGAACCATCTCTTCACTAAGAGCCCCCCCCCCCCCGCCCCTACTATGCCTCCTTTTTTTTTTTTTTTTTTACTCTGCCTCCTCTTATATTTCTGAAACTCAGGGGTTTGGAGAGTAGCGATGGGAGACCTCCTCCCCCAAATCCAGGCTAGCTGGGAGGTCAGCAACCCTGGCCTCCAACTTCAGGACGGAGAGGGGCGCGCGAGTGCGGGGGCCGGGGGCAAGGGTGCGGCTGCAGGAGGCGACTTTCTCCCGCCCGACCGCCCCCGCCGCCGCGGCCTCCCTCCCACGCGTGGGCGCCAAGCTGCGGCTGCGGCGGGGCGGAGCCAGCCGGTCACGCGGGCCGCACGCGGCGCTGCGCCGCGGGCACGTGAGGGGGCGGGGCCTGCGCCCAGGATCCCCTCTCGCGGCTGCTTGCGTAGGAGCGCGGCGCCCGCCCCTCCCGGCGCCACCGCCCCCGCGCCGTTGCGCGCGCCGCCTCCGCCCCGAGAGCTCCCGCGCGGGGGCGGGTGGCGGAGCCCGGGGAGCGGGCGCCAGGCGACTAGGAACTGGGGAGGGGAGGTGGGGGGAGGCAGGGGGATGGGGAAGAAAGTGCGGGGGGAGGGCTGGCGTCCGGGGCTGAACGACGGCCTGCCCTTGGGCAAGCCCCGTCCCCCAGTTCCCCCAGTCTCTCCCGGACTCTAGGTTTTTTTCTCTAGGGTTGGGGCAAGGAGAAGCTGGGATGCGGAATTACAGCGGCGAGCGGGCTGGTGGCGGCGAGGGAGGCAGTTGGATACGAGGACCCCCCCCCCTCCGCCTTCCCAGCCCTTTCCCCCCCATCCACCCACGCGCGCGTGCTCTCCCAGCGCTGATGATGTCCTGCCCGCTCCGCTGCTCTGGCTCAGCTCGTGACTCTGCTTCGTGCTGGCAAAATTCCGCAGCGTGCACTTGTGGGGGAGGTGGGGGCGGGAAGGTTGGCTGCCAGCCTTAACCCCTAGAGCTGACCACCTTCGGGCCTCCCCGACAGCCAGGTACTCCACTTACCTGCCCCCTCCCACACTAGGTCATTCCCAGGCCCAGCACCCCCCCCCCCAACGTGTCCCCAGCCATCCTGCAGGATACTCCATCCTGCACCTGCTTGCCCTCAATAGCATTGAAATCTCCCATCTCTTCCTCTGGGCCCCCCCCCCAACCCCGGCCCCATCTCTAGAGTCTGTATGGGTGCGGGCAGTGGACGGGAGCAGGGTGACACGCAGACTGTACACAGGGCCCCTTCGATGTACACCCCGCTTGGAACAGGGCAGTGGAAAAACAAACAGCTTCGCAGGAGGAGATGGAGTCTAAACACCAGCTCATTTCACCCGCCCCTTGTTGATCACCCAAGCACGTGTCCGCCTCCGGGGTAAATATTGTGGTTTGCTTCCATTCAGCCCCCAAGAAGACGTATTCGCTGCCCCTGGTAACTGGGCAGCAAGGCCTGGCCCAGGTCTGTCTCCTCTGGGTTAACTGTGCGTCTGACGCAGGAGTTGAGATAAGATGGTGTGTGTTGGACACATAGGTAGGGTGAGAAATAAATATGAAAAGAGATTCTCAGAAATGAGACCCTGTGCTCTCTCAGTCGGGAATGCCCTGCACTGGAACATGTGGGCTCATTCAGAGGTAAGGACTGTGTGGGAGGTGTTTTTGCCCCTCCCCTAGCCAGAGGTAGATTCTGTATGCTGTCTTAAAAGATATTCGTGGGGCCCTCTCTTCCAGGTTGCAGTTGCGTGGGGCTGAAGTTTCACCAGGAGAGAGGCCGCAGGGCTGGGGTTGAGATTCCAGGTTTCAGCCATACCTGCTGAAAACTTGACCTGGATAGGTTCTTGAAAACTGCCTTGCCGACAGGCTCTATCAGCCCCACAAGAGAGGTCTGAGTGGAAGGCTCAGCGTCCACTGGGCCCTCGTCTGCTCCAGCCAACTGGGGTTGTTGAATCTGGTTGCCTTGGACATCAGAAACTTGAGAACGCCTTTCAGAAGGCCCCCTGTCCTCCAGGTCATGCTTCTCCGAATTCCTGTTATTCAAGATGGTAGTTTCATACAGTTCAGCTGCAGCTTGTTCTTTGATTTAATTTTGTCACCTGGTATCACCTTGAAAACGGGGATTTATGTGCAAACATGCAAAAGGCCTCAGGAGAGGGCTTCATTCCTGGAGGAGGAAAGGGCAGTACAGAGCCTTAGGATCCTTTGACCATTTATTTATTCATGTTTCTTGGTGACTTACTGTGTTCCACGCCTTATGCAAGGCACTGGGGAAACCTAGTGAGAATGACATGGCCTCTGTCCATGTGTCCTTTGAGAAGACAGTAAATGATTTTATTACAGTGAAATAATTGATATAACTGGATTGCTTATGAGATGCAATGCTAACATAGGGGCTGCTGAAATCTGCCCTGGGAAATGTATGTCAGCTTGGGCTACATTGAGCTGCAGTAACGAATGATTCCAGTGACTCAAATAGCTAAAAACAAACGAGGTATTATTTACTTGCATGCCTGTCCATCAGAGGTCACCTATGGTTCTGCTTCATGTTCCCTTCATTCTGGAACCAAAGGTCAAAGTGCTGTCCCTTCGTGGGTCTGGCTGGTCTTAATGGCAGAGAGAAGAGAGAGATGGCAGAGCCATGCAATGGCTTCTGCTCTCAGTTCAGTTCAGTCACTCAGTCGTGTCCAACTCTTTGCGACCCCATGGGCTGTAGAGCGCCAGGCTTTCCTGTCCATCACCAGCTCCCAGAGCTTGCCCAAACTCATTCCATTGAGTCCGTGATGCCATCCAACCATCTCCTCTGTCATCCCCTTCTCCTGCCGTCTTTCCCAGCATCAGGGTCTTTTCACATGAGTCGGTTCTTCCCATCAGGTGGCAAAAGTATTGGAGTTTCCGCTTCATCATCCGTCCTTCCAATGAATATTCAGGACTGATCTCCTTTAGAATGGACTGGTTGGATCTCCTTGCAGTCCAAGGGACTCTCAAGAGTCTTCTCCAATACCTTAGTTCAAAAGCATCAATTCTTCGGTGCTCAGCTTTCTTTATAGTTCAACTCTTACATCCATACCTGATTACTGGAAAAACCATAGCTTTATTTTATTTTATTTTATTTGTGGTTAACACTTGAAATACATTTACTAATTAAGACAACCAACACTTTTACTTTTATTTGCATTTATTTTCTGCGGTATTTATTCCCGGGCCATAAGTTTTTGTTTCTTCAGTTTATTCTGGGATATCTTTTTCTTCTGTGCAATTTCCTCTTCTGGTTTAGGAACAATCTGTTCTTTTTCAGTAAGGATCATCTCAATGTGGCAGGGAGAGCTCATGTAGGGGTTGATCCGACCGTGAGTTCTGTAAGTCCTGCGCCACATCTTGGGGGCTTTGTTCACTTGGATGTGCTCAATGACCAGAGAATCTACAGCTAAGCCCTAAGCTCAGCATTACTCTCTGCACTTTTGAGCATGTGTAGTAAAAATTCAGCACTCTTTTTGGGCCACCGACCCTGCGTCCAGCCCCACTGTTTGGCCTGTGCACACCTACCAACTCCACCATTGTAACGACGGAATGGCACACACTGCTTCTTTAAAGTGACATCCTTCAGATACTTGGTGGCTTTTTAAATATGCATACCCTTTATGGCCTGGGCAGTTTCACGAGTATTCTTAAAGTGAACACGAAGATTTGAACCTCTTGATTTGCATGATTTTGTGGGGTTTTCTGGGTCGAGTGAATAGCGCACCATTTTTAGGGGTTAGCTCAGGCCGCTTACCGGAAAAGCGGAAAAACCATAGCTTTACTTAGATGGACCTTTGTTAGCAAAGTAATGTCTCTGCTTTTTAATATGCTGTCTAGGTTTGTCATAGCTTTTCTTCCAAGGGTTGCCATTGCCTTCTCCATTAATCCTTTTTTAGTGAATTCCAAATGTTTTAGAAGCTATGTGTCAGAAGACCAACTATTTATTTCTTACTATAAATCACAATGTCACATGTACATATTTGAAATTTTATAGTAAAAGATACATTTATTATTTTAACTATGTTTAATATTTTAACAATTTATCAGCATTAAGAACATTCATGCTGCTGCTGCTGCTGCTGCTAAGTCGCTTTGGTCGTGTCCAACTCTGTGCGACCCCATAAATGGCAACCCACCAGGCTCCCCCGTCCCTGGGATCCTCCAGGCAAGAACACTGGAGTGGGTTGCCATTTCCTTCTCCAAGGCGTGAAAGTGAAAAGTGAAAGTGAAGTCACTCAGTCATGTCCGACACTTAGCGACCCCATGGACTGCAGCCCACCAGGCTCCTCCGTCCATGGGATTTTCCAGGCAGGAGTACTGGAGTGGGGTGCCATTGCCTTCTCTGATTCCAAGGAGCAAGCATCTTTTAATTTCACGGCTACAGTCCCCATCTGCAGTGATTTTGGCAGAGAGAAAAGAGAGATGGCAGAGCCATGCAATGGCTTCTGCTCTAGAGTAGTGTATAACACTCTCACTCACGCGGCATTGACCAAAGCAAGACATGTGAGTGAGTTGGCCATAAATAGAGCAGAAAGTATAATCTTTCTACAGGGTCAGGCCAGTTGGGAGGGGTGGGGAATATATGGACCAATAATACAATCTACCATGGCTTTCTGGAGGTGGTGATGCTTGGGCTGATTGCAAAAGTAGATTAAAACTTGGGCAGGTAAGCAGACACAGCCGGGGAGGGTATTCCTGTAGAGAGAACCCCATTGGCCGCAGTCATGAAGACATGAAACTGCTTGGTCCAACAGCTTTGCCTTCTAAGTCTGCGTAGTGTGGTGCGGTATCCTTCTTCCACTGACCCTTCGGATGTATGGCTCTCTTTTTAGGGGCTCGCCTCCAGCCCTGTTTCAAAGGGCTGTCACTAGGGGAAGGGTGGTGATTAGTTGTTACATGTCTTCCTGGAGGAAATGGACCCAGGTTACTCCCCAAAGACTCTTCTTTAAGTACTGGGAAAGTACTTTGAAAAGTCTTTTATAAATACTGTGAAAGAAAACAACAGCATCAACAAATCAGCAAATTGCCATGAGATTCTTGATGCCTTGAAGGCGGAATAGTGATGGATCTGGGCAGCGGTGCCTAGAGGCGAGGGCTACCAGAGTGACCCCTGCACATGTCAAATCTTGTAAAAGTTCAGTCTTCGTTCATGGAGGAGTTTCAGGGGATGTCTCTAGATGGTTCTGATAGTCATCTGAGTCTCTGCCACCCTTGCTGTGTTTCTTGATAAGCCTGATCAATAAAAAGCCTCATTCCCACCCACTTCTTTCATTTTCTATTCTGATTTAGGTGTTAAAAGAAGGAAACTGTAAACCAAGATGTCTAGGTGGCAAATGCATGTTGTTGATGTGTAGAACAATTAGTTAAACCTTTTGTAGTGTTTGGCTTTTCCTTCCCGGTGCTGTAAATGCCTGAAGGGCAGTGTTCATGGCCTGTATTCCCACCCCCCTGTATCCCCTAGAGCAGTACTTTCCTGAGGACCAGAGTCACCCAAGGGAGATTTGTATTTGGGTTGGTTAGTTGGAAGGCA